CCCGCCCTGATCGCTTCGCTCTCCGAATTCTTCAGTTTCGAGCTCGTCGGTTCGCTTTGCTCGCCGAGTTTTTTCCCGTCCTCGCCGGGAGCCTGTTCGCAGGTGAACAGGCTAACAAAACACTAGTTATCGTTACTCACCTGTCGCACACGGTTTTCCTTTCGTATCCCGAATGACACTGACTACTCTTTGGTTGACAGTTCTTTTGACAGAAACATCGATCCAAGCAGGAGACCCAGATAAGTCAATAGATGTGAGAAAATTTATACTTACAAGATTTGGGATTAATTATTAACGTGGTTACGACCAGCTAAGACAACAAATCTCTGGTGGGAATAAATTGGAGAAACCAAACTTTTTTTTCCTTCTAGCTTGTTTTTTTTTTTTTTGAGGAAACGCACTCACTAAGAAAAGAAAATTTAGGAAAGGAAGGCCTTACAGCTCAGCAGCACTGCTACTCTTAATATAAATTTGAACATTTTTACACAGGGGTCCCGAATTCTGTATCAGCCGTAATATAATCATTAAGAAATGTACTGTTATTTACCTGTGTCTTTTTGAGCCGTTTAGAAGGGTTTCGAATAGAGGCAAAGGCGGTTTACATTTCGAATACTATTATCTCATCTGCCGCCCTGCAAATGCGACGCTTTGTAAATGCGCGCTCCGATACGTCTCAAGTTTTTATTATCACGTCGTTAACTATTAACTGGGGAGAGAAATGAGACTTTCTCACGCGGCAGTTATGAAACCTGAGAATCTCTCCCCCAATGAGAGTTAATGGTTAATGACGATTACAATGAAAACTCGAGACGTAATCGAAGCGTCATATTGTCGAACCTCTCCATAACGGCCACCTTAGGGACAGAGGAAAGTGGCGGTTATAGAAAGGGGAGGTAGGGGTGTAATATGACGCCTGTTCTTTTTCGGAGGCAGCAATTTTTTTTTTAAATGCATATTGTAGCAATGCAATCCAGATATAAGGCGCAATAAATTTAAATTGTAAGATAAGCTAAAATCGATAAATTCGATATATATCGATAAAATCGATAGAGCTAAGTGAAAAATCGATGATTATCGATTACTCACAACGAATTCTGTTATCGAGTTTTATCGATTTCCGATATCATTGACTAAGTTTTATCGATTTTTACCGAATATTATCGATTATCGATGTTATCGATTGACTACCCCGGGTATATACGTAATTATCAGGTTTTGCCCTGGCCCTGGCCCTGGCCCCGACCCTGGCTTTGACCCCGACTCCGACTACAGGTCGGCGTTTTACCGTATGTTTTGCATCTCATATCATCCGTTTGAGCTCCCTTGGGACTCTCACTTCTACTCCTGCCGCGACGTTCGATGCTGGATCAAGATCTTGTAGTCAAAGAAGAATCTACTTTGGCTAGCAGTAGCTAATACCTCCTTGTCGATTGCCTTTGAACATATTAACAATCTGAAAGGTAAGATAAGTATATTTGTAATTAGTGAGTTTATTAGTCGCACGCTTTTGTTGTTGA